TAAAGCGGGAAATACAAGCTGTGATTCATCGGCTTGACATGATCGGGAATCGGGAAGTTTAGGGGCCGATTCAAATCTGATACGCGGATATATTGAATCAGCTCGATTCACAAAATCTGTACCATTGTCACAGATTTTCTCATATCGGCCAGATTTTTCACGTTCTGGCAAATAATCGGGCCGACACATTGCAGCGTGTAGACATTCGATTCCTGAACTTGTCATCTTGATTCAACGGTTTTTCTCCGGGATTTCTGGTTTTCCTCTCTCCGCAAAACGGAACAAGTTAAATTGCAGTTTGATCTGTGAGTTAACCGTGCCCTGACTTGGATCAGCCCAGAGGTTGTTTCAGGGATTSTAGAATYGAAAACTGTTTGTTTGTTCTTCAAGAAAAGAAATCTACCTCGCACTTGACCAACAGGTCTAACGATTCATCTTTGTTTTGTAGGTCAAATCCAAAGTGGCTTCGCTCATGTCTGGATGTCATCGATTTGTAGTCGAGCTGTTCGATACGTCGACAAGTATCGACATCGTAATGAGCGAGGAACTAGTAGCAACAGGACATGCGCAGACTTCGCCTGAAGGAATCCAGGTACTTGACTATTTTAATAATATATTCTATATTAAACTATGTACAGTGATACTTCATTTTTTACGCGACTTGAAGTCGTGAAAGGCGCGTTGGCTCTCTTCTTCGGTCGTTTCATACAAGGCTCGTAATTTACCTATTACGCATGTTCTTGTATGATTTCCGAGCCCATCCCACACGGCTTGCCGCCTCATCTCTTACATAAAGTGATACCTCTTTTAAAGGGGCACTTGGATAAAAACGCCCCAATTTTTGAAAGTCCAAATAATTGAAGTATGTGAGGATAATATGACTCACATATGACTATAAAAACCAGATTAGTGAAAATTTTAGCCTGGAAGCCACTTGCAGATGAGAAATTTTGGTTTAAAAGCAAAAAGAACAATAGGGTTGAGTAAATGACGCCATTTACTCGCAATTTAGATGCTGAATCAACCTGATAATTTTCATACCCCACTTTTGACTGTGAAGAAAATATGTTGCTTGGCTACTATCTGGGCCATATAGATAAGTTTAATCAAGTTCGATAGTCATTTCCAATTTTCATCGATATTCATCCAAGTGCCCCTTTAAGCTGATACCCTTCATTAAACGAACAGCTAGTTGACGGGTCGAGATGTTTTTCCCATATTTACTCTAAAGCCCCGTTTACACTGGCGATTTTTGCAGCGATTTTTGCTGCAATTTTTGTGGCAATTTTCGGAAATATGAAATCTTTTGTTTTATCCTTCAAAAGAGACATTCGTCTAGGAAAATCTTGGTATCCTGAAAAAAACTTTACAAGTAAATTCTTTACCTTTGTTTATTATGGACAAAATCGCAAAAAAAAAAAAAAAATCGCAGCAAATATCGTCGCAAAAATCGCTAGTGTAAACGGGGCTTCAAAAAAGCCTTTATTAAGCAGTCGCTAGGTAAGTTTCCCTAAGGTGTCTGCATAATAGAGGTATCATAAACGTATTATGGTGAAGATTAAAATTAAATTGTTCATTCGTTCGTGTTCTGTCATAGACACTGTTTCCTGAAGCAGCAGTACAGTTAGGTCGACAAGAATACAAGGTATGTAGGACGGACAGACAGACGACGACAAGTGGAAATTGATGAGTAAAGTAGTTTTCGTATGACTGCGTAAAGCTCACGGCACGAGCACGGTCGTCACACGGCAAGGCATGCGTAACAGACACACAAACAGACATATTATTAACTACTATACATGCAACGCATGTAAAACAAAGAGAAAACCCTTCACGATTGAGCAGCTATACGCATGAAAGTGTAGCAGTAAGGAATGCACTCAATTAAATGCAAAACATTTATATATTTTTTCTTTAGCTTCAGTCTGAAATATCGTTCCCATTCTACTAAAATCTACTTACTGAACAAGCTTCACAAACATCTTTCAGCTACACATGATAAATAATAAYGTTGCTAACATTTTATTGCTTTTTTTATTCTTTCTTTATTCTYCTGGGTCAAGTACGAATACGAGAAGATTCCTGACATGTGCAGAGATATCCTGCAGTCTCGGGTATGGTCTCTTGCTCTATTTTAATATTCTAATGACTTCATCATCATCATCATCATCATCATCATCACCATCATCATCATCATCATCATCATCATCATCATCATGGGGTACTTATATAGCGCATTTCAAATATCTCAATGTGCTTTACATTTAAAACCAATGGAGGTCTTTACGGGCTGCGTATTAATAAATGATCCAAAAGTAGAGCTTTTTCACTCACGTGACAAGGCAGGCATATTGGTGCACCAAACAATAGATACTTATACAGGGTGGTTTTAACTAGCGACATAAGCGACGGAAGCATAAGAAAAACAATAGGAAGCCATTGTTTATGCAAGAATCCAATGTATGTGCAGGGGACTGAGGACGAGAATTTGATTGGCCTACCACCGTGTGCTTCTGTATGTTAGCAACGGTAGCATAAAAATCTGGCTTTCACTAGCGACGTAAGGACGGAAGCAGAAGAAAAAAGAAACCTTCCGTTCCTTCTGCTTATGCTCCCGTCGATGTTCTGCTTCTGCTCCTGTCTCCGTTTTTTGATTTTCACAGCAACATAAGACGTCTTACGCTTCTGCTTTTGCTTCCGTTTCTGCTTCCGTCGCTAATGAAAACCAGGCTTACACAGCTTTGTGCATAAAAATACGTTCAATTCCCCGAGGATAGAAAATGTATTTGTTTTGGTACACCAACATGGCCGCTGTGACGTCACGTGAAAACGTTTTATAGTACATGACCAGTGACAATCCAAACTGACATGTCTTATRTTACTCTTGTCACGTCTAGGACCCATCTCAGCGTCTCAGTATTGCCAAGTCATTACAGACCATCGTAATGGGTAGTCCAAGGTACTGTTGCCGCTTGTATTAGAGCATCGAATACAGCCTTTGCCAGTATATTAAAATAAATAATGATAATAAACTATATTTATATAGCGCTGAATCTCTGATTGCCCAAATTGCTTTAATTCCTAGTAATTCTGGGAGTCCCAGTAAATTCTATGACTAACGGCCTATTGTCCAGTCATAATCAATAATGCTGTCATTTTGCATTTAAAGTTTTTACCAAAAACGTATTGCCTTAAAACTCAAAATCCTTATAGCCCCCCCCTCCCCATTAAAAACTATTTTGGTACCCACCGTCTCCTCAGCATTATCGATATCACTATGACATTACCCCCACTTTATTTCATAGCTCCCCCACCCAACCCATAAATCAGAATTGCTCCTATATTATAACGATTTTTATAAGAAACTTATGCATTTCTCTTCTATATTACAGTGCTAAGGATGCCATACGCGAGGGGGGTGGTGTGAGGTCGTTATGTCGTCTACTAGCACTGACCAGAGCACCTGCCGTTCAAGAACACTTGTTGGTTAGTCTGGATTGTTTGACCTTCCAAAATGACAGGTAATATGACAACATCCTGCAAATACAATGTTGTGTATTCACTTCTAACTTATACTTGACGTCATTTCCTGTYTCGTGTGGAATTTTTTCATCAGCTAAGTCACAAATTTTCAATAGGATTCTTTCTCGCTGACAGCAAGATGGTGGACAGTGTTCATATTATAACTCTCATCAAAATGAATCCGTAGATGAAGAGATATTATGGCGGATACCTTGTCTATCAACTTTGAACATATATAGTTTCCTTCGTTTTACCCTATTCGGGGGTCCTGTGTAGTTTAGATCATAAGGAAGAGCAGGACTAGAAAGGATTTGAGGAAGAAAAATGGCATAGCTGAACTGCGCAAATAGTTTTGCGCATGTCAAACGTTACTACTTTCCTAGTCCCTCTCATCAATTGTAATACATAGAAAACCCAAGCCCAAAAATCAATTACGGGTTTGGAAAACTGAAAGTTGCCTGCGGCGAAGGCTTCATTGAATAGCGATATGAGTTGTAAATTGTTACAAATGATAAGGATTTTATTGGGTTAAATGTTAATTCTGTTCCAGTAATTGTGATGAAGCAAGGAGAGCAGGTGGACTAAAGACGCTGTGTTACCTGATGGACAAGGTAAAGCACAGGGAGCCCAATTTAGATAAAGCTGAAAAGGGAAAATAAAATCTTGGGGAATCGACTTTATTTACTTTTTATTCGAGGTCAAGTTAATGGCTTCCCCAGTACGAACGAGTAAAAGAATCCATAAAAATGCACTTTTTTGTGTGCGCCTTTGTTTTCCTATATTACAATACACTCAACAAAATCAATCTATTCTGAATGGACAAGAGCAGTACGATTAAATCCCTTATAGTACACATAGTATGCATTTCAGTTGCACGATGGACTGAAAATCGGCCGCCAAATAGACAAAGATGAACGGCGTCGCTTCGCATTTTTTACTGAAATTTTGTTGAGTGAACTATAAACAAAAAATCGCACGATCTTCTCGTACAATTTGGAATTAATAGAAACTCGTAATGTTTTGAAAGTTCTTTAATTGCACTYGCCTAAAGGCTCGCGCAATTACAAGAACTTTCAAAACATTACTCKTGTCTATTAATTTCCAAATTGTACGAGAAGATCGTGCGATTTCCTATACTTATAGTACACTCAACAAAATTACTCGACTCTGATTGGTCGATTATAGCGTACAATTACAATTATTACAAGTACAATTATAGCGTTAATTGTACTCCGTAGGAGTACCGAATTAAGTCGCTATGGCAACAAGGCCAAAACAATGTCAAAACAATTAATATCTTTCATTTTGTACTTAAAAAACATATAAATAAAAATTTAAAGGCGTAAGAACTAATCTTTTTTATGCATTTCAGTTGCACGATGGACTGAAAATCAAATAGACAAAGATGAACGGCGTCGCTTCGCATTTCTTACTGAAATTTTGTTGAGTGAACTATAAACAAAAAATCGCACGATCTTCTCGTACAATTTGGAATTAATAGACACTCGTAATGTTTTGAAAGTTCTTTAATTGCACTCGCCTTTTTCCTATACAAATTGCACTMCGCACGATCTTCTTGTACAATTCGCAATTGATAGATACTCGTGATGTTTTGAAAGTTCTCAAATTGGACTTGCCTAATGGCTCTATCAATTTTGAAAACTTTCAAAACATAACTCGTACCTATAAATTCCGAATTATACTCGAGATCGTGCGATTTCCTTTACTAATTCCCCAATGGTATCCAGTATGTCGTATATATATTTATAAATACTCTTACAAGGGWGGAAATTCCAGTCGCCATCTTTCAAAAAATAAAATCGATTTTCCCCCGATTTTATTTTTCCCTTTCAGTTTATCTAAAGTGGGCTACCTGTGGATAAGTCAGACATCCCCATGCAACACTTTACTCTCATGCAAGCTCACTAAACATCGTTTTCTCATTTCCATTGGCGAAGACTCCCTTCTTCCCCCCTCCTTGGCCCTTCTTTACCTCCTTAGCCCTCCTTTACCTCCTTGGCCCTCCTTTACCTCCTTGGNCCTCCTTGGCCCTCCTTTACCTCCTTGGTCCTCCTTTATCTCCTTGGCCCTTCTTTACCTCCTTGGCCCTCCTTTACCTCCTCTGGTAATCTTTGATTGATGAATATTCACTTCTTTGTCTAGAGCCGCAACATGTCCGTGAAGTCACATGTTGCCTGGACACTGAAGAATCTTGCTGCAACCGAAACGTAAGTCCCTTTCTACTTTGATCCTTTAAGGGGAAAACGATTGCAAACTGGACACTTTCTATTAAAGTGCACCTACCCCTGATACAATACTTTCAAATTTCTATTCTACATAAAGTGAAAAGTTGAACGGCAAAATATTTCTTCATTTGAATGTTGCTTCTTTAAGTTATGAAGGTTTATACTTCCATCATGTTACAACTGTGTAGCATTGGTAGAGGGGTAATTACTTCCAAACTGTCTTTTCTTAGAAATCAGGACACTATTCGTGACCTTGATGGGATTAAAGCACTATGCAACGAGTTAAAAGCTGCAACAGACGATAAGGTCAGGGGTTTATTCATTTTCTGATAGTTTATTTATTGTTTACTTTTGAAATACTGCCTATCATTTTTTTTTTTAGCATCCATACATCCATACATCCATCTATCAACCTCTACGTCCTTGCGTCCATCCTTACTTCCATCCATCCTTCTAGCCATTCATCCAAATATACGTGCAGTTATGCATGCATACTTCCATCCATACGTTTATTTATTCATCCACSCATCCATCCATCCGTGCAGTTATGCATGCATGCTTTCGTCCATCCGTTTATTAATTCATCCACCCATCCATCCATCCGTCCGTGCAGTTATGCATGCATACTTC